CATGAGACACTAGAATGCCAATCATGTCGCCCAAAGCATTCGAATTATCTAAATAATTGTGTATAGGTGATTCTGGTTGGGTCCCATTATGTAATTATGATCAGTAATTGATCAAAATGGTTAATGATACAGGCAACAGAAAGGAAGTAAACAGTCTTGAGACAGCTTTCTTATTTTCCAGATGATTATGGCGAAGGTGTTCATGTTGAGGTTGCTAAACTACCACCAGCAGAAAAGGCTAAATACCACAGATTGTTTGAACGAAACAGTTTCAGTGAATATACCAGTGATTTGGTATCTGTTAACAGGACTATACCCGATAGAAGACCTCAAGCGTTAGTCATCATTGGTATTATATATAAGTCTTGATATTTGATCTACCAGTCGTTATACAAGGAGTTAACAAGACGTCTGATTTTTTTTCTTACAAGTCATATGGATAGTTATATTAATGTTCTTAGGCTTTAAAATCATATATTTAGACGTATTAATGTCTACCTATTGCCGATTAGGTCTGAAATTTGCTATCAAAGATTGTTCAAGTCTAAAACATTAGTGAGTTTTAACCCTTATCAAATCTACTGAATTGTAATACCAATATGTTTGCGTGGGTGTGTTTTTTCGACTAACTTCACATAATTAATAAGCTGTCCTATTGTTCTATGACCTAGGCCAGTGCTTTCATTGAGACTGGTATCAATACACCCTAACACCAATAAGTTCTCTTTCTTTCCTTTTCTATTACGATCCACTATTATTTCACAATGTAAATTTGGGGATTATAGTAAGAATTTATAAAGCTTAAGGCACCGAGGCCAACTCAACAAATACCACCGAGTCGAGGATGCATTGGAAGCATTAGGCAATAATTGGTGAGGAAGTGGAATTTTCTTTCTTACCGCGATATAGATATCTTGACCAATGGAAAAGTTTTACCCAAAAATATAAATTTTTATCATACAACGATGTGTTAATGATCGAAGCGGAACATAATGGAGAGTTTAAATCGCATGCTAGACTACAGAAAATAAGCCTCCTTTCCCTAAATCTATTACGAAAACCTTTATTTCAGATGCAAAGATAAAAGTTACTCCTCGAACCTGCTACAGACTAGTGTAATAATAACATTTCATAATGAAGCAAGATCGGCTTTACTCCGTTCTGTACACAGCGTTATCAACAGATCACCTTCCAATTTATTGAAGGAGATAATTCTAGTAGATGATGCATCTGATAGAGGTAGGACTCCCTTTTTATACAAAAGTGGTACAATTGACCTTAAAGAAATTGTTTCTCTTAGAATAGACATACAATTTAACTGCTCAAACTTTAATAAAAGTATAATATATTCATCTTCCTTGAGTGGCATTTAGTAATTGATGATATTAACACAAACACAATTATATGGATAACAATTACTTTAATTAATAACTTGCGACGTTTCGACGATGATTCTTTCGTCTTTATCAAGCATTAATTGTGTTCGTATAATATATACATCAGTGAACATTATTTGGTGTCATAACTTTGAAAAACGTTGAAATGTTTATCCCTTGATTCTTAAAATGTGAATATTTCGAAATAACAACGTTAACTTTTCAGATGATTTGAAAGCGCCCTTAGATGAATATTTGAACAATTTACCAATAGTCAAATTAATTCGATGTCACAAGAGAGAAGGATTGATAAGAGCTAGGTTACTGGGTTTTCAGCATTCTACAGGTCCCGTGGCAACTTTCCTCGACTCGCATATAGAATGTACTCCAGGTATTCCTCCTTCTCATTTTGTATATTGTTTAAACATAATTTCAAAAGGGAATGCTAAAGGAACGTATATTTGAGAATCCATTTGCTACTGGCCATGTACGTGTAATTCCCCCCAACAACTGATAAAAGATAAAGAGTAGGCAATGCCATTTTCCAGGAAATGATGCAATCTGTCTTCATCAGTCTTATTTTTAGCAGAGAAAGGCAGAGCAGGTCATTGCTTTTCATGCCAAATTGACAGTGTTTTGGTTACCTCCACAAGAATAATTATGTCATGGACGATCAACGGTATTTGGTGGTCATGACAAATTGAAGGGTTTCAGACTAGTCCCATTTTGCCAAAGGACCCGTTTGTAAGTTGGGACGGATAATCCGGATGATCCGGATATGAAAATTCAGCCATTGCTCAGCTGAAAGAATGGATGTTAGAGGCTGTTATTCCATCTTTTATCCTGTCGTTCCTTCTAATGTGTCTATTTCAGGATGGTTGGAACCTTTACTGGAACCTATCACGAAAGATAAAACCATTGTTACGTTTCCTCGTATAGGCTACATCAATAAATTCAAATTTAAATATAACATGCCGCTTTTACTACATTATGGCATATTTAGATGGAGGGCTCTGAATTTTGACTGGGAATACATCCCTAAAGAGATATTAGATTCAAGAAAATCAGAAGCTGACAATATCAAGTGAGTACTGAATAGGTGGAAAAAAAATTTCTTGAGTTTGTACGTTCATCGGAGCGCCAGAGTGGTATTAATAAAGGCTATTTTGAGCAGCATTACAATCAACTGTGTAATGTCTAACGACAGAATGTCCTTTGATTTTAGAAAAAAAAACTACTAGATATGGCGTGGTTTTCCCTTTTTAGGTCACCTACCATGCCCGGTGGATTATTTAGCATCAGTAAAGAGTACTTCACATTGTTAGGAACATTTGATCCAAAATTAGAAGGCTGGGGAAGTGAAAATCTAGAATTATCATTTAAGGTATATCTCTTTGAACATTTTCTTTTTATCTGAAATTGAAATATTTCTCATGGCTAATGTGTTAAGCCCAGAGTATATAAAAGGCCACCTTAAGAAGGCCTGCTATCTTAAAAAGCGCTCTTGGCTTTTCCCAATATCTTACCTTTAGCCAATAACAATTTTATATGAACCAAAGAAATTTTTGCAGCACTGCTCCGATCAGAATACTTAACTATTATTGCCAACACTCCAGAAAGCCAAGATCATTTGGTGGATTCCTGTGGATGTCTAGTTTCTTTTTGCTTGTTATCAGATCGACCTTTCATAGTTAGATTTGAATTATTTGAAAATATTAACATAACATAAAGGTTTGTCGGTGCCAAGATTTTACAATGCTATCTTCAGGAAACAAGGCATCTTCAGTTTCAATTAAGTTGGAATGCGTTTAAAAATCTATATATATTCCAGATCTGGATGTGTAATGGTACGTTATTAATGGTAGCCTGTTCCCACGTTGGTCATATCTTCCGATCTAAATTCCCCTACACATTACCTGATATATCCAAGAATTCACTACGGGTAGCAGAGGTTTGGATGGATGAGTTTAAACACTTCTATTATGATTATATTTCACCCAATGTTGTAAGTCGTCACCGCTAAATATTATTTACTTTCAATTGTTTTTTCGTATTTGGTTTTGGTAGGTTTTACTCTAGGGAACTCAGCGATAGTCGTAGGTTGGAAGGACTGACATCGGAAAACGTACTATTCAAATACGATACGAAGGTATAAGTCTCTCAAAATTGGTTTTTAACTTATTGTTAGTCCTCCAGTTTTCAAGGAACTATATTTGTTGTTAAGTTTGTCAACACAAACTCGCTATCTCTTTGGGATTGAATGCAGACACACAAAATCTAATTGAAAAATTGACTTATTACTTGATAATACTATTATATTGCAGTCAGATCTAGATGTACGAGATCGGGTAGAACTGAGAAAGAAACTACAATGTAAAAACTTTGACTGGTATTATAGAAATGTACTGTCAATATCCCTGTGGACACCTGTGGATGCTCTACTTGTTGGTCAGGTAATGCTATTACATGGATGGGTTAATAAAAATCAATCCAAACTTCAATATTCAGAGAGAGCAGCTAGATATTCAACTAGAATTCTTACAACGGATGGTATCTTGTAGAATATATAAACGCATATAAACGTAAACCATTCCATCACATGCTAGTGATCTACTTTCAAGCAAAAGTCAAATATGGTCGTCGAACCAAGTGGTCGGAATCTGCGACCGAAACCGACCACAATGAATGATCGGTCTTTGCCAAACAAATTGTGTACAAATTTATAATTTCAATAATTGCAGATTTTCAGCTTGAATAAACCAGGTTTTTGTGTGGACAGATTATATGGGTCGTCTGTACAACTTTACCCTTGTAACACGGGTGTTATAGGTAATCAGGTAAGTGAAGTGGGTGGTAAACCAAAATCGTGTTGACTATGTGAATCGTTCCAATTCCATGAGTGCATATTTTCCATGCAAACGACAATCCAACCCGTTACAGATTGACCTATTCCACTGCCACAATTTCTTACGCAAATCCTATTGGATGTAAATTTGAGTGCAGCGATTGATTCCAAAATGATTCATTTGATTCACGCAACAATTTGAGTGTATCCGACCACTGTGGCTTCAAAGTCGCAATTTCTATTTTTATTTGAATTGAACTATCGACTTTAAGAGAGCTAAGTTAGACTTTCTTTTAGTTCTCGTGAGTAAGATTTCACAATTTTAGTCAATTTTTGATGTTTTCATGTACATGTGTTTCTTCAAAATATAAATTCACCGAAACGTTATATTAAACAGATCCGTAACATTGTAAGACAAATGACATGCTATGAATAAAAATTTTGATATTAGTGAAATAACAGAAAAAGGGTTTTGAGATCACAGTGGTCGGAGACTTGTAAATAATAAAAGTTCTCATATATTAATAGAATTTCTACTACACTAAAGAGGGATTATTACGAACTGAAGTTCGTTTAGAAAATATTTGTATCTCGGCTTCAGCATTGACCGTTACACTTCAAGAGTGTGATACGTCAAGTCTACATCAAAAATGGCATTATCAGGTAAGTCGACTATTAATCAAAGGAATTTGATAATTCATGGTAGTACAACAGTATGATTTTGTATACAGTATACACACTCAGTTCTGAAGTTGTTAGTTATCAAATAAAAAGAAAATTGACGAAACTGATGCAGTCAAGATTAGACCACACTTTCGTTCCGATTTGTATGAACTTGTCATAAGATAGGGTCAAACGCTTCTTTTGACGAATGTTTAAGAGGCCAGTCTTTAGACCCTAACTGAAGTGGCTATACTAAAAATAAGACCTAAAATAACGGAACGAAAGTTTGGTCATGTAATGTTAATGCTTTTAGGAAAACGTCTATACAATGGCTCGCACATAAACATTTTTCGCACTTTTACATATTATGGAAGTTAACATATTGAGAACTGGACATATCGATGTAACTGCAACAAAAGAAAAAATCTGAGTATACTGAGAGTGAGACTTATCCTTTGCCCAAATATTGTGCATGATGATGCATATCTCAATTAAACCTCAGTTCATTTCTAAATCATCAATATAATCCGTTCAATTATTACAGAATAACCAATTCAAACATTCCCTAATGAAGACGTGTCTAGCTGTAGATGCTGATGATCCACAAGGTCCGACTACGATGGTACCGTGTGTTAATACATCAACAACAAGGTGGCAAATGAATCCAAGGAAACACAAAACCCTGTAAATGGTTTATAATGAATCTCAATCAACTCCCCACGCCAACCTGAAATACAAATCTTGAAAGCCGATAACATTTTTTGTATAATAAAACTATTGAATTTGGAGAAGTAATCGATTGGATATTGGATCAAAGTTACATTTAATAAAATAAATAACTATGTTGTTTTAGTGCTTTAAGGCAGTATCCACATAATACCACATTGCGAGCAATATGTTACTTGCGGTTGGTGCAACTGGTGCAACTGATATTGAATCGTTATACCAACCCGCCTACTTTAACAGTGAAAAATATCACAAAGAAAATAATAAAAATGAAATAAAAATTTCAGATGGCATACCTTAATTGAAAATACCTGTTCGAATTTTTCATACAAGTGCTTTATCTGAAATGTCATCATCAAGCATCTACGTTTCGTAGACGAAACTTATGACCGCAAATTGACTGTTTAAAAGTGTACCTATATCCCGTCTCTGTCACAATGACTTTAAGCAATTCTTATTTCATTTGTCTTTGTTTCGGCTTAATATAAAACCAGTCAAAACCCCCAATTTGATGTGGCAGGTAAAAGTGATATCTTTATTGAATAATATGCAATAATACAACATCAACATTTGTTAAGTATAGGTGGTTTATATACACCAGTAATAATATCATCACCAAACCAGAAAGATACTCCTTTAAACTTACTAGCATACGATAAATCAATCATCTTCTGAACCTCTCCAGCTGGTGTCCGTGGCCCTGATCCCGAGAGTCGAATTCCCCCGATCAATGACGTTTGGTGCCCATGAAGTAGTGGAATATCTCGGTTGATGATGATTTTGTAGTCGTTGGACGATGAACGGTAATACTGTGGCACTATCTCATCCACGACGCCATGCTGTAGATAATTTTCCCAGTCCACATTATGGTGAGATTGTGAAAATTCAATAGTAGACGGCGAGTAGGATACGATTGCATTTCTTCTTGCAGCTTTTACACTATTTTTAATTTGTGTCATAAAGTCCTCCATTACCCTATAACGTTGTGAGTGAGAAAGCGCGTCAACGTGGGCAAATCCACTTGGTAAACTCATATGATCATCATATTGAATACCATTTATTGCGTAGTTTCTGACCAGATCTGCCGTCATGTCTGCGTAAAATTTTCGAACGGCAGCGTTAGTTGCGTCACAATATACATAATTTCCACCAGCATGCGACGTGTACCCACCATTTCCAGTTTTTAAAAGCCATCCTTTGGCATTGCAAGAAGAAGCAAATCTAGTTGTAGGAGAAGTTCCAAAATGAGCTTGAGTACCATATTCAAACCACGCAAACACCTCTAAACCGTATAGTCTTCCAGCATTTACTGCCCACTGCAATGTGTCTCTAATGAATACTGCTCCATTTGCTGTTGCTGTAGAACTTTTGGCATATATATATCCATCAGCCCATATGTTTACATACACTCTCGTGATGCCAGCATTTTTCAGAGCTTGAAACCCTTGATTAACTTGGGACTCGCTGGTATGGTAATGGTAACGACTAATCCACGTTCCATATGTTCGAAAACAGAAGGCATCGACTGCAATGAATAAATGATTTGTGTTGTGAACAAACGAATATATAAAGGAAGGTAGTCAGTACAATAACTCCATGAGCTATGGGGATTTTCCGATACTCAACATTTAAAGATATGTTCTCTTATTTTCATTTATGAAAATGTAAATGCTAATACTTATATGAATAGAAAGTAGAGGTGTTCTAATGACTACGAAAAATACCAGTTTGTCTCACATTACCAGCAGAATTGTAATGAGTGACCGATCAAGAAAGTTCAAAAAGTCTTTTTTTGTTTATCCAGACTGTTCATACTTGGACATTTACGATTAGCTAAAACTCTTAATTACATGCAAAATAAAAACATAATGATATGATTAAGAACATATGATAATTTATTAGAAACACCCATTAATCAAATAGTTCGGTTAAATTGACACTGAAAAATAAGGAAACCCAACTTTAGGTATAAATACAATATAAATACCTCACGCATTGCCCTATCAAGTATTATCTTATTCAAACGAAAAAAAATCTTATACTGGATAACGATCTACTTGACCTGGCATTATGTACTGATAGCTCTTGAAATATGCGCAACTTTCAACATAGATCTTGTATTTCCTATGCAATAGTTTAGATATTTTTGTAATTTAAATTCCCCAAATGATAGTAGAAATCAGATTTTGTAACAAAATGGCACAAGTAATTGACGTGTTTCTCGTTTTTAGGCAACAGAATTGGATACTTCTCGAGGCTCAATTTTCTACACCTATCCGTTTTCTAAAAACGCCTTTTTGTTGTGGAGCACTATACCATATGAAAAACACGGACATTCTATGTCATAACATATAAGATTAAAGACACGGATAAACGTTTACCCGTCACACAAATCCAGCTTTAAAACATTTTGATGACCAGTAAATATGCTAAGAGTTTTGTACTTTGGCAAAATCAAGTGAACTGAAAATCGTAGGGATACTATGTAAATAATTAATATGACTTTACCTTTAGTCCGAGTGGCGATGACAAAGATTAAAAGTCCGAGAAATGTTTTTAAGCCTGCCATGTCTGTTAGAAAGTCAGGACGTTTTGACGAATCATGCTAATCTTATCTAGGATATCTTATCTTTCCTGTAATCGGTCAAATAGTGCACGTACATTAATAATGATAGTACGACTGGGCATTACTGACACAAAGGAACTGCCTGCAAAAAAGTGTTCGCCCATTGACACTAATATGTAACCAAAGAGGCTACAACGCTAATAACTAGCTAATACACTTTGCACGTATTTCGTAAACTATTTTAATAATTTTATGGTTTTGTAAGATTTATACTAAAATGAAATTTCGATACATTATAAACGATGGGAAATACATTGCCTCTAAGAATGTAAAAGTCCACATAGAGAGGTGGGGTTAAAAAAAATGGAATGGAAACAAGATCAACCTCATCATGAAGTATTTATTATTACTACTAAGTTTGAATCGACAATCAACAAGGGAGTTAAGCCTGCCATAGACCAGAGGAACGAGCTGAGCTGCCTACCTCGAGAGATTGTCAGTTGAGTAACATTCTTTTTTCGCCGCAGACGAGTGATCTCTAGAAAATCCTCAGCCAATTCCGTACGTCAACAAAAACAACCTTAGACGCCCACACACAGTGATTTTCTGGACAGAAAATGTCAAACAGGATACATATTTTCCTCACAGCCTCTCAAGGCAAAAATCTCATTAAAAATTCAGCGCAAAAAGGGGGAACATCTCAGCTCACAATCTCTTGAGGCAGGCTCAGCTAGTTCCTCTTGTCTGCAGGAGGCTTAAACATCGTCATCCACGGTCGGCAAATAGCCTTCTACATTTTTATTATTATATTGTTCACATATTATGTCTGTACCATTATATTATTTGATATGTATTAAGTTTTATGTTATCCTGTTCCACGGGGTAAAAATTGTATAAAGACCTAAGGCTAATTTTTCACCATTGTTATTAAATATTTTATTATCATTATTATTATTATTACTATTATTACTTTTATAATCGGTTAAATTCGACCAGCCTTTAACCATTGCAAAGATTCGGTTAGAGAACTTAACTATCGATACGTAATACCAAATTGGAAAATGATACATACGTGAATGGATATTGATAAAAAGCGTATAACAGAGGCAACTATTCTGCGATACAAAAATTATTTTCTCTTATATATATGCTTAAAGATTTCTTTAGTTGTGTAAAAAGTATGTTATTTCTCACAAATTAATAGGCAAAAATCCAAAACAACACAGACATGCGAACTATATTTAACAAACTATTTAAAGAATTAGTTGAATTTCATACATATATGCTACAAGTGAATATGTTTTCACCATGCATTGCGCAATACGTTTTTCATGATGTAAAGTCCAGTCATTCTATAGTCAAACACATCAGGGAAGTAACGGCACCCTCAAAGTTGTGACCCACAATTACACGTATACATAGGCTGCATTTTCCGATCGCATAGATGGCCGGCGATATCCATGTTTTTCTAGAAAGTATAATATTAGAATCGGACTGAGCCTCAAGTACATTCCTTCGATTCAACTATCCTAGATTCCGCCAGTAAAAATCATTCTGGTTGCAATCAGAATCGGTCAGTTGCAAGTGCAAACGTAGATTCTGAAATGAGAAAGAAATTTACAACGACCATTATATAACGTTATAAAGGGAATTCTATCGATGGAAACAAAAACTAGCAGACTTGAAGTGCCAAATCACCCTCCCTACAAACCGACCAATTACTGCAACTTAACATCATACATCATTAGCCCTCTGGGTATATTAGTATTACTGGCCCCTCTGAACAATCTACCTATCTGAGAGTGTTCTAGTGTTTACATTGTTTATTTAGAAAGTGTCAAAATATACTATAAGAAAATCCTACGCATCGACAGATGTAAAATTTTAATTGGATATATTTTTGTATCGAAATTCATATATAAAGACAGACCTTTACCAGCATTTCGACAATTCAATTTATTGAACTTGAATACCACAATGGGAAGGATTACACTTTTGTTACTGTTCGTAGCCTGTTTGGCTCTGGTCCTTGCCCAGGGAGAAAGGAGACCAAGTAATAACAGACCGGAAAAGAACGGTAATGAAGGACGAGAAGAACGACGAGGTAATGAAGGACGAGAAGAACGACGAGGTAATGAAGGACGAGAAGAACGACGAGGTAATGAGGGACGAGAAGAACGACGAGGTAATGAAGGACGAGAAGAACGACGAGGTAATGAAGGACGAGAAGAACGACGAGGTAATGAAGGACGAGAAGAACGACGAGGTAATGAAGGACGAGAAGAACGACGAGGTAATGAAGGACGAGAAGAACGACGAGGTAATGAAGGACGAGAAGAACGACGAGGTAATGAAGGACGAGAAGAACGACGAGGTAATGAGGGACGAGAAGAACGACGAGGTAATGAAGGACGGGAAGAACGACGAGGTAATGAAGGACGAGAAGAACGTCGAGGTAATGAGGGAGGAGAAGAACGACGAGGTAATGAAGGACGAGAAGAACGACGAGGTAATGAAGGACGAGAAGAACGACGAGGTAATGAGGGACGAGAAGAACGACGAGGTAATGAAGGACGAGAAGAACGACGAGGTAATGAGGGACGAGAAGAACGACGAGGTAATGAGGGACGAGAAGAAAGACGAGGTAATGAAGGACGAGAAGAACGACGAGGTAATGAAGGACGAGGAGAAAGATCTGGTAGTGGTGGACGAGGAGAAAGACGCAGGAGCAATAGACAATAAAGAGGACGTTAAAAATGTAAAGGTGAGTCGGAAACCTTATCGCGTTTTATAAATTAAAGAGAAAATAAATATTCATATTAGCACTATCATTTGATAATTGTTATCGGAACCTTTCGAATTCATGAAACTGTTAGAAATCTACTCAGTCCGCGAAAGTATATGTTGATGGCAACGTGTACATCAACAGAATGTGAAACGCACCGAAACAATTCTCATGATGACATATATTAGACATATTTGTATACAAGGCCACAATGTACATCTTAAATCAAGAATTATACAATAAATAAGGAATTAATTTTACGATCTGGTAAAAGTTTCTACTTATGAATTTCGTACTATTATTAATTAAGAATTAATTTCATTTGCAGTATAATTATTATCTTTTCTTTTATTTCAGCTTCCAGTTTTCATGAAGACTGAGATTTTAAACAATAAATAAGAGCATTAAAACATGATTTGTTTTTATTACATCTGTAAAGTAATGAAAGTAAAATAAGTGGTTTGTCCCAAATATTTCCGACTGCTGCCACAGTATCTTGATATACATTTGAACAATTTGATTCAATCATGATTCCTGAAAGCTATATCTGACTAGGTTGCCTGGTCTGTCAATCTATCTTCCGAATTGTATGTTTGCATGAAACCGGACGAACGAAATGCATGGTAAATAAAATATAGATTTACAAACTGGATCCAAAAGTACTGCTCAAATACGATACGAAGGTATAAGTCTCTAGAAATTTGATTTTAACTTGTTGTTAATCCTCCAGTTTACAAGGAACTGGATTTTTTGTGAAATTTGTCATCACAAACTTGCTATCTCTTTGGGATTGAGTGCAGACACACAAATTCTAGTTTCTTGTAAACTGGAAGACTGAAACAACAATGACTGAAAAAGAACATAACTAGAGCCACTCGTGGCACAGAGTGGGACTTTGCAAATGTAGCAATTTGCTAAAGACCCCGAAAAAATCAACCATCGACGATAATTAGGTCAAGCGCAAGAACAAGTCTAAAGTTGATAATTTTTCATTTTTTAGAAGATTCTAATACCGGAAGTAGACGTCAGACCTCACAAACGAAAGTATCAGCAGATAGCCAAGGTCAATGACCTCTGATCTTGTAAAGGAGAAGGTCTAAAAAGGTCAAGATCAAGAGATATACGTCATCAAAATTTCTAATTGCATACGACTATAAAACCGGAAGTTGACATAGGACAGCAAATATAAAAGTATAAATAGATAGCCAATGCCAATGACGTTTGATCCTAGAAAGGTCAAGGTCAACAAAGGTCAAGGTAAAAAATTGAAAATTTTGAATTTCCAAAACCTGTTCCTTTTTTTGAACTATGAAGCGGAAACAACCGAACTTCTAAGACAAAGTGTCTCAAAACATGAGATAATTGTATGCAAAGTTCCATTTTGAACAAATGTATACTTTGCGAGTTATGTTCCTGTCCAAAAATGTCAATAATGAGTAATATAACCCAGATGTGCCACGCCCACCTTAATTTTTTTTTGCATAGGGTAATAGATATTCCAAATGTTATGTTGTGTTTTAAATTTCAAGCTTCTACATTATTCAGGCCAAAAGATATAGGTCAACAAATGTCAATATAGGTCAAAATCGAAAAATGAAAATATCCAAATGTTAAAACCCGTTCCTTTTTTGGAACTATAAAGCTGAAACAACTGAACTGTTAACACAAACTGGCCAAAAGGATGAGGTAATTGTGTGAAAATTCCCTTTTTGAACAAACGTATCCTATGCGAGTTATGCCCCAGCCGCAAAATGTAAACAATTAGTAATTCAACCCGGATGTGCCACGCCCACCCCAATTTTTTTGTCATAGGTGAATTCATATTCAAAGTGTCTAGTTGTATTCCAAATATCAAGGTTCTACATAGAATAGGTCATAAGATATACATACACCAAGATCAAAAAGACACAAATATGGTAAAACTAAACTCAAATTTGAAAAAATCACGAATTTCAATTTTGCTTTAAAAAAGCAATTGTTCTAAATCTATGTAAAGTGCATGAGAAGCACATTAGAAAACCGAAAAAATGAACCCTCTAGGTTAATTAGGTCACGTCCTAGAGCAGTCGAAAGTTGCAAATTTGGCTTTTTACGGATAGCTATAAAACCGGAAGTACATGTCGGAGGTCAAAGGTCAAAGTATCAAATGATAGCCAAGGTCAATGATCTTTGACCCTATGAAGGTCAAGGTCATCAAAGTTCAAGGTCACGAATTACA